AAACCCCAACCTGAACAAGGTCGTCAAAGTTCTGATCTGAAACAGATGCCTGCTGGCTGCAAGGATTTACTGCCTCCGAGGTGGTCCCCCTCGAAGGGGTGCTACTGGGGTCGAGTCGGGATTCCTGATTTGAAGCTGGCCGCAGCACCTGAGCACTACTGGGGTCGAGTTGGGATTCCGGCTTAGAAGCTTGCAGCAGCACCTGACCCCCTCTAGATGAGCGCAAAAGCTTCAAGTTGGGCTTGGGCACAAAACTCTTTGTTTGCACCCTCTAAGTCCGTATACGTTCAAGTTTTCCAAAATTCAAATCCAATCGGAATATATGAATATTCCAAAACGAGGATATAACTATCCATATGAACATCGGCTAAAATCGAAAGCAGGTGCAGGCAGAATGTTTTCTCGAAAAGTGCCGAGTCCAACGATCGACCAAACCGGAATATTTCCCCCACTGCAAAAACGTCCGACCTGCCCCGACGTGGTAAACAAAGTACCAAAGGCAGTCGAAAAGCACTGGTAAGGAAAACGGTTTCAAAAGGGTCGAAAATCACCGGTATTAAAACCACCCACAAGGCTGGTGCAAGGGGTTGGTGGCGGGTCAAGTGAAGAAAGGGCCCTGCCCTTCAAAGAAAACTTGAACCAAAAGGCACACGGAAAGAATTATGTGAAAGTGGCATGCAAGGAAACGTGCACGGCCAAATTTCAAAACTCGCCTTCCGGGCTTTAAGGGTTGCAAACACAATCGTTTAAAAACGAAAACCGTTTGCACCCTCTAAGTCCGTATACGTTCAAGTTTTCCAAAATTCAAATCCAATCGGAATATATGAATATTCCAAAACGAGGATATAACTATCCATATGAACATCGGTTAAAATCGAAAGCAGGTGCAGGCAGAATGTTTTCTCGAAAAGTGCCGAGTCCAACGATCGACCAAACCGGAATATTTCCCCCACTGCAAAAACGTCCGACCTGCCCCGACGTGGTAAACAAAGTACCAAAGGCAGTCGAAAAGCACTGGTAAGGAAAACGGTTTCAAAAGGGTCGAAAATCACCAAGCACATCGTTTCACGACCCGGCAGGGGGAAGACCCCAAAAACCATCGAGAAACATTCTGACATGACTTGCAGAGCATGAACGTGGGAAAAGACTCTCATGCCAACACTCTGCAACACTGTACACTGCGACCCTCAGAGGAAATCGGACAAAACAACTCGTTTTGGCTCCAGCAGCTCTTCACAATCTCACGGTCGAGAGCGAAGCTCATTTTCGAGCGAAGACTGCAGATTGACCAAAGCATCCAGACGCTGCTCATGGTACCGAAGAGCTCTAAGCAGTACCACAGGGTCACAAAGAAGCTGAGTCGCATCCGCCTCCTCGGCAGAGAAGACCATTCGTACCTGCTCAGCATGTGTCCAAGAACGAGCGCCTGATGTCCGGGACGAAGCAAGGAGCTCTTCCAGACGCAGGTTGAGACGAGCATTTTCAGAAGTCACGTGCTCAATCTGCAGGCGAAGCTGAGCATTCGAAGCCCGAAGGGAATCGCAAGAGTCGCAGCGAACCGCATCGGCAGGAGTGCGAGGAGAAGGCTCCACAGGCTCACGCTCCACTGCATGGGATTCAAAGTCGCTAACCGGGCTACGATGGCCAGGGCGGTCATAGGGGCCCATGCGACGGAAACCTCGAGCATCCACCTCCACCAAAGGCTCCTCAGGTGTCTCGGGCTCGGTCTGTAGCGATCGACGAAGCTCAATCACGCACGAGCGGCACCAGCAAGAGGGGCCGTGTCGATCCGCCATGTTCTGCACTAGAGCTAAGAGCCCCAAAACCGCTAATGGCCGCAGCAAAGATCAGAACGTGATAGCTGCACCGGACGATAGCAGATGAAATGCTGGAATAGCAACACCACGGGCATGGCAAGCGTGCCAGGTTGCACCGTACCCCAGACATTCCGCTTTTGATCTAATCACGAAAACGTGAGGAGAAGCATGAGTGAAATGTTGCAAGAGCTCGGAAGAGGGCGCAGGGCCTCTTTTCAAACCAAAGCCGAGTGAAGGCAACATCACTTCCTGGAGGCTAACTGCTGAAGATGCTCAGGCCACCGGGCCGCCCGAGGCTGCAGACAGACGCCGGAGCGCAAGAGCCACCGCAAAGGAGGTGAGACACGATCCTCAATCGCCAAGGGTGGCAAAGAATCCACCGGCATCCGGCTGAGCTCATCCGCAAGGGCATTCTTGTAACCGGCGATGTGCTCGACTTCAGCATCAATTCCTGACCAAGCTTGGAACGCCAGAAACCTCTGGAGGACACCAGACATCGCCAGCACGGATGACATACCCTTTGATGAAGCTGCCTCAGCCGCAGAGTTGTCGCATCGGAGAAAGGCTCTAAGGCGGCCTCGGCAAGAAGGCAAGGCCTGATGCATGCACCACAAGAGCAGCAACTGCGCAAGGAGCTCCAGTGCTGCAATGTGAGATTGAAGCGGCACCTGGAAAAGGTCGCTGATGTCCTGCAGTTCAACGGCCGACAGAGAGACTGCAAACCAATGGCTACGTCCACTGGGCCAGCACACGTAACCTCCTAGCCCCATCGATGACTCAGTGGCACAGGCATCAGCTTCAGCCACAATCTGAAGATCCACAGGTGTAAATTTTCTCACACTCTGAAAGAACGCCTGCGGTACGCGGTCATGTGATTCACATGCTCAAGTGAAAATGAGTGCACGATAAAATAAAGCAACAAATGAAATACGACATGTCAAATGGGAGAAATCATAAGCACCCCGCCTACAGACACTCATGGCCTGGGCGTGGGTTTCTGTACAATGATTCTCCGTTGCTCAAACACGAACACTTAGTTCAGGATAAGCA